AACACAGGCGTATGCTTGCGAGCGCGGAGGGCCAAGACGCTCTGGGCGCAACTACTTTGGCCGACGCGCATTGTGACCGGCGGTCGAACGACGGTCATCGCACTACGGACGAGCACGCGCCAACCTGTTGCCCCAGGGGTGGCGCTCCGCCCAGCTGTGGAGGAGGCATTCCTTTGTCACCCGCAGGCTGGCGATCCGTCCCGCTGGGAAGCCGCCTAACCGTCCCCCCTAGAGCGGCGATGATCCGCACTGCTGTGGAGCAGGTCCCTCGGTCACCATTAGGCCGGCGATCAGTCCTGCTGGGGAGCCAACCCACCGTCACCCCCAGAATGGCGATGAACCCGCGATGGTGCAGGGCCCCCTTGCCGCCCGTCAGGTGGAAGGGTGCCCAGCTGTGGACTGGCTTCCCCCAGAAGCCGCCTGGGTGGCGGTCGGCTATCCTTTGGAACAGGTCCCTCTTGTTACCCCACGGCGGAGACATCGGCGGCAGTGGAGGGGGTCCGCCCCGTCCACCCTGGGGGGCGGCGACCTGGCCTGCCCGAGAGCTGCCTACCCGTGCCACGCCTGGGGTGGCGATCCGACCTGCGATGGCGCAGGTCCCGCCTTGTCAACCCAAACTGGCGTCGCGGCCTGTTGCAGAGCAGATCTCCATGCTGTCCTGATGCGGAGCGGTCCCCCCCCCCGTTACCGCCAGGATGGCGATCGTCCCTGCGGTGTAGCAAGAACACATGTCCCAACTAGGGTAGCAAGCCGTCCTGCCCTGTGGCCCCAAGTGGGCTGCCCCGGGCCCCCCCTACAAGGTTTGGAGACAGGCGTCTGACGCTGTTCTCGTGGATGCCAGCCCATCCTCAGATCAGGTGTTGAGACACGCATCATGACTCATAACTTGCACTGTAGGAGTGAAGCAACCGCCACTACACCTACAGTGTCAAACAGAGGTGGCTGTCTCGGGGTATGTTGACCACACATGCCATCCACCAACAGGTGCCAACAAAAGTCCCTGCACAGGCTCTGGGGCCAAAAGGTTTGCCATTGAATCTTCACGAGTAAACCCACAGGGCTATGCCAACCCTCAAGGGCATTAGCACTACACTGTAATCCTCCTCCTCCTCCTCCTCCTCCTCCTCCTCCTCAATCGGCTTCTCGTCATTGACTTCCTCGTCATCCTTCCTTCTCGTTCCATCCTGCCACGCTCCGTGTGCGCTACACCTCTACATGCTTCCTCATTCCGCTCCTGCGCTCCTCCTTCTCCTCCTCCTCCTCCTCCTCCTCCTCCTCCTCCTCTTCCTCCTCCTACTCCTGCGGCATGTGAGGTGGACTGTTGGCAGTGGGAGCACAGCGGAATTCGCCATGTTAACATGGCAGCAGCCGTGACCGCAAAGGAAATGATGTTCAATCAATCCCCCCCTCCCCCCTTCTTGCCACATTCCTCCTCCTCACTCGGCTGCTGCTCCTCGTCGTCCTTCTCACTCCCCTCTCAACCTCATCGTCCTCTTCTTCTTCCTCCTCCTCCTCATCCTCATCCTCAGCCTCATCCTTCTCCTCCTCCCTTCCCTCATCCTCCTCCTCATCCTTCTTCTCCTCCTCGTCCTCCTCCTCCTCCTTTTTCCTCCTCCTCCTTCTCCACCTCATCCTCTGTCAACGTATAGTATCCATCCTCTGTCTCCTCATCTTCTCCGAGTTGCACGTGCCCATTTAGGCTCGAGGTGGCTGGGTCGAGCCAGCTTTGAAAGGTGTGGCTGCTACGTGGCCTGGGCACCCGGGCGCCCCATGCCACTCTGCCTGGTCGTGCGGAGCACGCAGTGCCTCCTCTGCAGCGAGCAGTGCTGCTCAAGGACCCGGCTCTTCTGGCACCTGGCGAGCTTCCACCCCCCGGAGGACTGGCAGCCCGTCTGAGTCGAAGGAGAGGAAGGAAAAGACTACATAAGCGTAAAGGCTCGGAGGTCCGCGCGGAACTCTCGGATCGGCGGTGGACGCCCCCCAGCGCCTCCGGCACCGCCCCTGGCGCGCCAGGAGGGAGGGGGGGTCCAGTGCCTATCTCGGAACTTCGCAGGGGTTCCGTTCCGGCTTGTGCTGACTTTCCTTCCTCGGCCCGGTCGTTGCCAGAAGTGTCCCTGGCCCGAAGTGCCCCCAGAGGAGGTCCGAGGAGGCCCCTGCGGCCTCCATGCAGCACCCCCCACGAGGTCCAGAAGGCCCCAGGGGGCTCCAAGATGCAGCGAGAAAAGCTCGGGGTACCCTGGGCCAGGGGCACCTGTCCCTGAGATCCGACGTTGCAAACAGCTTCAGGAGGGGAAACAACACAGATACGATGAATCGTCGACTCCCAGGAGAAAATGGGAACATATGGGCAGTGGGGGGGAAGACGACCCAGAAAATACAGGAAAATGTGGGGAATCTTGGGATTTGTGTCTATCTATTTGCGTGTGTCCCATGGCCCCTATAAAATTGCAGCATCGCAAAAAATCACGACCAGAGCCCCGGACCACATCTGTCTGCGCCATTTCTCGAGCCGGATCGATCCGTGAGGGTCCCAGGGCCCGAAGCTGAGCGCAAACGCCCGTGGTGCAGAAATTGCAGCGCCAGGATCTCAGGGCCAGCAACCCCCGATCTGCCGACGACAGCCGCGCCCAGCGATGCGCACGCCGGCGCTGCCGCCCGCCCAGGCCGCCGCCGTCGTCGTCGTCGTTGCCGTCGTCGCCGCCGTCGTCATCGTCGTCATCGTCGTCGTCGTCGCCGTCATCGTCGTCGTCGTCGTCGCCATCGTCGTCGTCGTCGCCGTCGTCGCCGCTGCCGCCGCCGCCCAGGCCGCGGCGGTGTCGCGCGGCCCCCCCGTGCCGTGGAGCACGGGCGCCGGCGCGTCTGGCCGCCGGCCAGGCGCCCAGCAGCCGGCCGCGGGCCGCGGTGGCGGGGCGCGGCGGGGTGGGGCCCTCGTCGGGGCGGCGCGGAGGGGCCCGGCGGGGGCCGCAGAGGTCCGACGGCGTGGGCGGAAAGACTCCGAGGGGACTCGGGGTGCGAGTGAATGTGAAGTCACGGCCCTCTACAGGAGGAGTGTTCAAAAATAGTTGGGAAATCGTAATTATGGGGACGATTGTTCAATTGTTTCTACAATTTCTGAATTTGTTTTGACTATTCGTTATCTTTCTTGTAAAATCCGCCTGTAGGAGGACATGCCCGACCTAAACTGAATAGGGGGCCGATCAATGAGGGGGGGAGACAGGTGCTCGTTTCGGGCCCAAGGGTCCCCATCTTGCGCCTTAAAGGGCAGAGGCCCTGACGGGTTCGTTTCGATTGCCCTCGCAGCCACATTTATCGCCTCCAGTATTTCGCGCTCAACGACGTTGTGGCTGACAAAAACTCAGAGGAGGCAAAGGTGCAGATACCGCTGCCCTAATGCCTCGCTTTCGCCTTCTTGGGGACCTCCTGGGAGGCCCTCGTCGCCACCACTGGATTCGCATCGGGTCCTGGTCAGAAAACGCGCCCTGGGAGAGGTCCGGGGCGAGTGGCGGCATCGGCCAAAAAAAATTTGCGCGGCCATCAGAGAAGAGGCGCAGGACCCTAAGATCCGACGTTGCAAAAGAAATGCAACATCGCAAAAAGTCACGCCCGGACCCCTGGACCCCATGTTTCGGCGTCATTTTCCGAGCCGGATCGATCTGTGAGGGTCCCGGGGCCCGAAAGCGAGCGTCAACGCCAGCTGCGAAAAACTGCAGCGCCAGGATCCCAGGGGAGGGACAGGAGGCAGGAGGGGATCAGCGAGAGCCTTCTTCCTGTCAGCGCCCCCACAAGTGTGCGGCCGAGGGCCGCCAGGGCAACCGCCGCGAGAACGGACGCCGCGGGGTCCCAGGTGTCCGACGGTGTGGCTGAACAGAACGAACTGTGCGCGGCCATCAAAGGAGAGGCAGGGACCAGAAGGTCCCGACGCCTCTCGGTGGATGCAGCAGGGGTGGACTTTCGTCACTGCCGAGGGGCGGGCATGGCGCGCTCTCGCCGGGGCGCCTCGTCGAAAGCGTGGGCGACCAGAGCTGGGAGGGCCTCGGCGCAGGAGCCGGGGCCACCGTCACCGAGAGCCCACGGTCACGGGGGCCGACGATCCCTGGGCGGAGGCACGCCTGAGCATCGTCGTGTGCTGGGGTGGCGCTGGGGCGTGCCACCGCCCAGGGGTCGGTGCTCCCCAGCCCCCCCGCTGGGATTCTCGGTGGCGGTGGTCCCTGCTTCTCCCTGACGGCCCCAACTCGCGGTCGCCCGGACGTCCATTCCCCGTGCTTTTTTTCGGTATCGGGCGCTCCTGTGTCGCACGATGATCCAGGATGCTCCTCGCTGGTATTCTCGCCGAGAAACTGCGCACACGCCCCAGCGATGCAAAGACAAAAAGATTCCCGACGCCTCGAGATCTCGGTGGAGGCAGCAGGTGGGTACTTGCAGCCGGGGGCCGGGCACAGCACGCACTCGCCGGGGCGCCTCGGCGACGGCACGGGCGACCGGAGGCCCGTGAGTATACATGCCAGACGGCATCCCCCATGGGCTGTCCGTCCCCCGCGGGGGCTTTTACGCTTACGCCCTGAAGCCCTCGCTGATGGCCTCCGGGCCCGCTCGGGGGGCGAGGCCGAGGCGGCCGCGCTCGCGGCGGCTGCCCCAGCGGCCGCGCTCGCGGCGGGTGCCCTGGCGGCCCCCGGCCGCACACTTCTTGGGGGCGCCGACAGGAAGAAGGCTATCGCTGCTCCCCTCCTGCCTCCTCCCCGCCTCTCCGAGGACGACGAGGACGAGGACGAGGACGAGGACGAGGACGAGGAGGAGGAGGAGGAGGAGGAGGAGGAGGAGGAGGAGGAGGAGGAGGGGGAAGGGGAGGAGGAGGAGGAGGAGAGGAGAGGAGGAGGAGTGAGGAGGAGGAGGAGGAGGAGGAGGAGGAGGAGAGGAGGAGGGAGGAGGAGGAGGGAAGAGAGGAGGAGGAGGAGGAGGAGGAGGAGGGAGGAGGAGGAGGAGGAGGAGGGGGGAGGATCTTGATGGCCGCGCATGCCTCTGCTCAGCCACCCCGTCGGACATCTGGGGCCCCGCGGCGTCGGCCTTCGCGGCGGGCGCCCTGGCGGCCCTCGGCCGTGCGCGCGCGCCGCGGGCGCTGCGCCGCGCGGGGGCGCCGCGCGGCCGCCGGCCGCCCCGCGGCCGCGGGCGGGGCCCCGGCGCTCGAGGCGTTCAGCGGGCCCGCCGTGCAGAGCGTCGCCGCGGCCTTCGCGTGCGCGAGGCGGCTGGGCCACGCCTCCGCGGGCGGCGGCGTCGGGACTGACCACCTGCTGGTGGGCATGGCCGCCACCGCGGGCAGCTGCGCCGCCCGCGCCCTGAGGTCGGTGGGCCTGACCGCGGAGGTGCTGGAGGCCGCCCTGGCGCAGAGCCGGGGCCGCGGCGCGCCCGAGCCCGCGCCGGGGTGGACGGAGCAGCTCGCGCCGCCCCTCGGCGCGGAGGCGCGCTTCTACCTCAGCCGGGCGGCGCGGATGCTGCGCTGGCAGCGCGCGCCGGGGGCCGGGGCGCGGGTGCTTTTCCCGGGTACAGCTAGGGCCTCGGGTAAGGGGACCCGGTTAGTAGTAGGGCTCCAGGGCCCTTAAATTTGCCAGAATCACTGAACCAGGTCTGCCGTAGCTGGTGTTTTTTCGGGTGACGGCAGCTCTGGTTAGTGGAACGGGGCGGGGGGGGCGTCCCCCAGCACACATCACTAAGCCAGGTCCCACTAAACGCAGGTCTGCCAACACCCGACGTTCGGTAGCAAATCATGGGGGCCTGGTGTACCCTCTGAATACCGTCTTTGGCGTCGACTAGCGTCGGTCAGCGCCTGGGGGTCGATGGGAAGTGCCGACGTAGCGTCGACTCAGCGTCGATCAGGGTCGACTAGCGCCGACTAGCCTCGGTTCGCAAGAGCCAGCAAGCGGGTATGGGCGGCGCCCACGAGTTGCCACCCGAAGGTGCTGGGCACCGAGCACGTGCTGCTGGGCCTGCTGTCCAATGGCAGCCACGCCGCGCAGCGGCTGCTCCTGGCCGTCGATGAGGAGGGCTTCGGCCGCACGGTCACGCAGTTCGACTCCGGCACCGGGGGCGCGGCGTCCAACCCGCGCCGCGCGGCGCTGCGCGACGCGACCATGCGCCTGGTCAACGACAAGGACTGCAGTAGGGGAACAGAAACACACAGACACAAGGAAGCGTCGACTCCCAGGAGAAGGTGGGAACACATGGGAAGTGGGGGGGGAAGACGAGAGTCCAGAAAATGTTCAAACGTATGGGGAATCCGGAGAGTTGTGTGCATTCATTTGTGTGTGTCCGTGGGCCCCTTGAAAGGAGGGCGACGCCCTGCCCGTGGCGGCGCTGGCCGAGCGGCCCGGAGGCGTGCAGGCGTCCGGCGCCCCCGTCGGTATTGGGCTGCGCATGTGAGAGAAGCCCTTCGCCAGAGGGACCTTTGGTGCGGGCCCGCAGTGCCCTGAGACCCTGGCGCTGCAATTGTTTCACCACGGGCGTTTTCGCTCGGCTCCTGGCCCTGATCGATCCAGCTCGAGAAATGACGCAGAAGGATGGAGTCTGGGGCTGTGGTCGCGATTTTCTGCGATGCTGTAGTTTTTGTTTGCAGCGTCGGATCTCAGGGTAGTCTTAAGTCGGGTTTGACCCTCCACAGGAGGAGTATTCAAAAATTAAGAAAATAGTTTGGGGTCGATTTGTTGATTGTGTTTGACAATTTTTGAATATTTTCACCCAAAAATCCGCCTGTAGAAGGACACGCCCGACCTGAGGGTAGTTCCCCCCCCCCTCCCGCAGCACTGGCGCGCGCGGTGGGGTGTGGCTTCCGCGCCAGCCCCCAGGGCCGCGCACCGGATGTCCCTCTTGTCGGGGGCGGCCCAGAGGGGGGGCGATGACTGGGGGAGGGGGGAGATTCTCAGAGAGTCGTCGTGGCCGGGGCCACGATCTCTCCCCGGATTTCATGGCGCCCATTCTGAGTCCAACGCGCCCCCTGGGGCCCCCTTCTGGGCCGCGGGCGCGCCTCTGGCCATGATTTGCGACCCCCCTCCTGGGCGCCCCCGCTGTCTGCCCGGGGTCACTCCTTGTGCGCAGCCGAGGCACGGCGGTCCTGGACAAGTTCTCCACGGACCTCACGGCCCTCGCTGGCGAGGGCCTGCTGGACCCCTTTGCGGGCCACGGCGGCACCGTCGCGCGCGTCGAGCGGGCGCTGGGGCGCCGCCGCAAGCGCAGCGTGCTGCTGGTCGGGGACCCCGGCGTCGGCAAGACTGCGCTGGTGGAGGCCGTTGCGCAGCGCATCTCGAAGAACGACAAGCGGCTTGTAAGCAGAAGCCATCGGAGCTCCGCGCGGGTTCTTCGGGTGAGCGATGGACCCCTCCGGCGGCGGGCAATTCGGGGCCAAGGCCGATCCAAGAGATCCGCGCGGACCTCGGAAGGCTTAATTACAGTCGGGGACGTCCGCCCGCATAGCAAGGACGAGCAGCGCTCCAAGGCTGCCCTCGCATCCTCCCCCTTCGGCCCATCCTTGGCCGCTTTCGCTGGCCGCGTTCCGCCGGCAGAGTGTGGGCATGGCCTTCCCAGGGCCCCGCTGCATCCCCGTCGCGCGTCCCAGGTGTGCGGGTGGGCTGTGGCGCGTCGCTCCGCTGGCCCTGGCCCGCCGCGCCTCGGCGCAGCACGCTGGCCCCGTTCCCAGCTCCCTCCGTCAACGCCCAGCCGTTTCAGCCCGCTCCCCAGCCTCCCGCCCCGTCGAGCGGAGCGACGGCGCTATCAGCTCGCAAGGCATACGGTGAACAGCCATAGTGAGGACGGGTCGCCTTCCCAAGGGCACCCCTGCGTCCTCAGATTCGTTCGGCAGCGCGCCGCCAGAAAAGCTTCCCCTGGGGCTTCCGAGGGCCGTCCAGGGGCCTTGTGTCCTTACCGCGCGTCCTTACTACAGAGTTTGACTGTAGCGTGTCGCTGGGGCCACCGCCACGACACGATGAGCACAAGCTCCTGACCGTACCTCTGCTCGTGCAGCTTCTTCTTCTCCGGGGCATAGTCGCCGAGGGTGCGCCGCCCTGGCTGCTGCAGCGCCGCATCTGCTCGCTGGACGTCGCCGCGCTCACGGCCGGCACCCGCCTGCGGGGGGACTTCGAGGAGCGCCTGGGCGCGGTCCTGGCCGAGGCGGAGGCGGCGGGCGTGGTCCTCTTCGTGGACGAGGGCCACGTCCTCATCGGAGCAGGCGCCACGGCCTCCAGCTCCGTGGACGCCGCGAACATGCTGAAGCCGGCGCTGGCGCGAGGGGCGCTGCAGTGCATCGTGGCCACGACCGTGCAGGAGTACCAGAAGCACTTCGCGAGGGACGCGGCGCTGGAGAGGCGCTTCGAGGCGTCGGGGAAGAATGCATGACATACCCATCGGTCGTTGAAAGTAGGTATTCTGGGACTCCCGGTGCCCAATCTGCTTTAGCCGCCTTCCAACTTCGAGAGTCGAGTGGTTTTCCCTCTTCCCTCCTCTACAGGAGGCGGGCGGAAACCCAATCTACTTCCTACGCCTTCCTACTTCATATTTCTAGCTACTTCTTCCGACCGATGGGTGAATCTCAGGAGGCCCGCGTGGATTCCTCGAATCGGCGCTGGATCCCCCTCCCTGGCGCGCGGAGCGCGCCAGGGGCGGCGCCAGATGCGCCGCCCAGGCGCCTCAGCGCTGATGCAAGCAATCCGCGCGGAGCTCCGAAAGTGTGTGTGCTCCTGCTGTTTTTTTCCTCTTGTAGATCGTCGAGCGCGTTCCACTACTCGCGAAGCGCCTGCTCGCAAACCCCCGAAAAGCACGTGCTCGCCTCGGCGTAATTGGTCGTAGATCACCCGCGGCGGATCCAGGCCATTTGCGAGCAGTGGCGCGCTTGTCTTGCAGAGGTGGTCGAGGTCGAAGAGCCCTCGCCCAGCGAGACGGCGGCGATCCTCGAGACGCTGCGGCCCCGCTACGAGGGCCACCACGACGTCCTCTTCGCGCCCGGGGCGATCGCCGCGGCCGCCGAGTGGTCCGCCCGGCACCTGCCCGAGCGGCGGCTGCCCGACAAGGCGATCGACGTGGTGGACCGGGCCGCGGTCCGGGCGTCTCTGAGAGACGGGGCCGCAGCGAAGGCCGGAGCGAGGGCCCAGTTGAGAGAGCCCGACGAGAGGGGAACAGACCATGGCACGAGCATGCAAACGCGGAGGTGCGCGCGGATTCTCGGATCGGCGCTCGGCCCCCCCTCCCTGGCGCGTGGGGCGCGGCAGGGGCGGCGCCGGAGGCGCGCGGTCCAGCGCGATCCGAGATATCCGCGCGGACCTCCGAGTTATTATGTTTCTTTCATTGTTCGTTCCGTAGACGAGGCCCCTTCGCGTCGCGAGCAACTCACAATCTGGGAGGTGTTGGGGCACTTTCGGCCTCCATGGGGGCCCTCGCCGGGCCTCGGGACCGTGAAAGGCCGACTCGGAAGGAAAACACCTGCCCTGGGGAAAAGCGTCGGGGCTTCCAGGAGTCCGAACGGAAAACGTCCAGATGTCGCAGGTCTGGGGCGGCTTTCCCGCCCGGCCCACCTCCGCTCAAAGTCGGTTCCCAGACCCCGCCCAGGGTCCATGCGGACTTGGCGACCTGCCTTGGTCATGGAAGCGAGGGAGCACCATGAGGAACAAAGGGTTTGGGAAGCTGTTGCAACCCAAGAGGGGAGAGGATGGCGGAGGAATAGGAAGAAGAGGAAAAAGAGGAGGAGGAAGAGGAGGAGGAGGAGGCGGAGGAGGAGGAGGAGTTTGCGAGGCGGAGCCAGCCGTGGCGACGAGACCCAGTGAGAACGGAACGCGCCAGGCAGAGATCTCTTTTTAGTCAGGGCAGAGCTTGCCGCCGTGGCGACGGGATGGCTCCAGGAGGGCCCCAGAGAGGACGGCAAACTGCCTCCTCCTCCTCGTCACCTCCTCCTCGTCCTCCTCCTCCTCCTCCTCCTCCTCCTCCTCCTCCTCGCCCTCGTCACCTCCTCCTCCTCCTCCTCCCTCCTCCTCCTCCTCCTCCTCCTCCTCCTCCCTCCTCCTCGTCACCTCCTCCTCGTTCCTCCTTTTCCTCCTCCTCCTCCTCCTCCTCCTCTCCTCGTTGTCCTCCTCCTTTTCCTCCTCCTCCTCCTCCTCCTCCTCCTCCTCCTCCTCCTCCGCTGGCCCTCCCCCGACCGAGATCCGACGCTGCCAGAAAAGAAAAAGCGTGCAGCCTCACGACAGAGCACGACCAGCCAGAGCCCCCCGGCCCCCCGCCTTCAGCAGGGCAGCCTCCGAAGCGCATCGATCCCCGTCGTGGAGCCCCGGGGCCCGAGCACGGGGCGAGGACGCCCAGTGCTGCAGAACAGCTGCCACGCTCGGACCGCGGGGCTCCCCCGAGACTCGGCATCGCTCGGGCGTGTGCACGTGTTCTCCTCGCTGGGATCCTCCTATACACAGAACAAAACGGCGCACGAGATCGAAGCATGCAGCGCACGGGGCGGAAACAGATGCACGGGGAGGGGACGTCCGAGGGATGGCGAGGGGAAGGTGACCTTGGACGACATCGCCGCCGCCGTGGAAGAGGCCGTGGGCCTCCGCCCGGGGGCCGTCACCGCGGCCGAGGCGCTGCAGTCCTTCGGGCTGGAGAGCGCGCTGGGCGCCCGGGTCGCCGGGCAGCCCGAGGCGGTGGGCGCCGTCGCCGCGATGGTGGCCCGCGCGAAGGCCGGGCTGCAGGACGAGGTCCGGGGCGGGGAGGCGGGGTCGGGAGCGTGTGCCGATCTCGAGGCCTCCCAGCCCAGACCCCCTCGAGTGATGAAAAGATCATGGCGGGAGGATTTTCGTCATTTTAGGCTTCTGGGGGCCCTTACCGGTCCTCGGGACCGTCAGAAAACGACTCAGAACGAAAAACCGGTCCCAGGGAAGGGGTCCAGACCTTTGGGGATCGACGACGTGAAAAAAAACATGACGTCAAGGGTCTGGGAGACGGGGTCCTGTATACAGTCGGGCCGAAGTACAAGAGCGAGGTCGGTCGGGGTATCTACCCTCGTGTCCTTCGTGTTTGTCGGATGCTCTTGTGCACCCTGGGGAGGTCACCCTTGGATGTTATGTTTTTTTTGCCAGCGGAGGGTCTCATGTTCTTGAGGTGTTTTTGTTGGCCTACTGAAGACGGGGTCCAAGGATTGCGCCGCATCGCCGATGCATCGCCGATGCGGCTCGACGCGGAGTCCGATTTTTTCTTCACGCCGACGACGCCGATGCATCGCCAACGTCGCCGGTGCATCGCGAATGCATCGGTGATGCTGCGCGATCCTCCGACCCCATCTATTCGGACCCCATCTGGGAGGCTTCTATTATTTCGGCGGCGAGCGCGGGGGGGAAGTGAAAAGGGGCGGGCCTTCTCACAAGGCTCGGAAGTCCCCTGGCCTTCTGAGAAGCTTTCGAAACGGCTACGAAACTTTCTTCCGGGAAGGCTTCAAGCCTTCCCCGAAGACACAAACAAATTCTCAGAAGGCCGGAGGGCCTCTGAGAAGCCCCGCCGCCTTTTGAGACAGTCTTGCCCTTCTCACTTCCCCCTCCGCTCGCCGCTGGTTCTTGTAGCGTGTCGCGCCCATACGGCCCCCTCCTCGCCGCCCTCCTCGCCGTCTTCCCTGCCCTCTGCGCCCCAAGCTCGTGCGGCACTGCTGATTTCCCGATCTACTTTCTGCTTCGCAGTCGGGCGCTCCGTCTCCGTGCCCTGTGGTCCGAAGGCGTGCCCACCTGCGCACTCGGCTGCCCGCGCGTCCTGCCAGAAGCCTGGCTCGGTGACGGCAATGTGGTGCCCACGCGCCGTGCCCAGGGGCTGGCGCAGGGCTTCCGGGAGCGTGTCGTGCCGCCGGTGCTGGCCCGCCACGCTGCGCCGCGATACGCTCCCCCTCCTCCTCCGCCTCCTCCTCCTATTCTTCCTCCTCCTCCTCCTCCTCCTCCTCCTCCTCCTCCTCCTCCTCCTCCTCCCCATTCCCAAGTGCCAACGACCCGAGCTCTGTCCAGCCTCCCGCCCCGTGGAGCGGAGCGACGCGCTTTCAGCTCGCATGGGCATGGCGTGCCGCCGGGGGCCGCCGTCGAGACACGCTGCGGCAAACGGTCCAGACAGTATTGGAGTGGGGGATCGGTTACAGAATCGGTGCATCCTCAATCGGATGTCCCGTCGAGTCTACGAGACATACCTGCAATGCTCCGTAGATCTACTGGCTATTCTACGCATGCTTCTCATGGGCTCGACGAGAAAATCCACTCTGGGATACGCCAAGTTCGCAGTCGACCCCCTGCCCGACGTATCCGCAGCCACCGCCTGGGGGATCGATCCTCGGGGGCCTCGGCAGCTGGTAGCCATGCGGATACGCTGGGGCCCTGGGGGGCCCAGGTGTGCCCACGTCCGCCGCCTGCGTCGGGCTTGCCCTCGAGGAGTGGCGAAGCGTCCTGGCGTGCCACACAGGCTCGCCAAAGCATGTTCTGAGAGCCTGTTTAGTGGTTTACACGAAATGCTCTTAGAACATTTCTGGCGGGGGCTGTCTTGTTTAAACGCATCGGCGCTATGTTCTAAGAACATCGTTTTTTGTGATTACAACTTTTGGGGGCTCTGAGAACATTTCGTGATAGGCCTATAGGAATGCCGGGGCTGTCGGTCCCTGCTCAGTTCCCGAAGCTCGGCCCTTGCGCGGTGGCTTGCGGATCATCCCCCCTCCCCGCCGCGTACGAGGGGAAGCCGCTGGGCTCGCTGCTGCTCTACGGGCCGCCAGGAGCAGGAGAAGAGAAACCGGCATGAGCACACTGCCTTTGGAGCCCTGCACCCAGGCATCCGGCCGCTCCGATCTTCTCGGCGCGTGGGCCCCGGAGGTCCGGAGACCACTTCCCAGGGGCCCGCTGTTCGCCCTGATTCGTCCTGTGGACGGCCCCGAGGCCCGGCGAGGGCCTCGGAAAAGGCCGCGAGCGGCCCAACAAAACCTACCGCTCCATTTTTTGTTGTGGAGCGTCGGATTTCTGGGCGTGGACTTCTTGGATCGGCGCTGGGCCCCCTGCTCAGGGGCAACGATAGGGGGGATAGGCATGCATCGACCCCCAATCGCCCATTGGTCGCCGATATAGGGGCCCGATAGCCCCAACCTGCCCAGGAAGGGAAGGTGCGGACTCACGATCGCAGGCCTATCGCCGATCTATCGGCGATGAATCGCCGATTCCAAGTCGATGCATTCCCCCCCCTACTAGCCAGTCCCCCCCGTACCGTTGCCCCTCCCCTGCCGGCGCGCCCCGCGGGCGCCGCCCCCCTGGCGCGCTACACGCGCGCCAGGCAGCGGGGCCCAGCGCGGGGGCCGAGGAGGTCCGCGCGGGACCTCTGCGCAGGTTTCGGGGGCTGCTGGAGGTGCCCCAAAGGCCCAGGGTGCCACCAGGATTGCCATCAAGCAGTGCCGAAGCACGTCCTGGCTCGCCTGTAGGCCTACCGAAGAATGTTCTTAGGAACCGTTTGTGGTCTGCACGAAATGTTCTTAGAGGACATTTCTGGCTGGGACTGTTTTGTTTTACCACATCGGCGCTCTGCTCTGAGAACCTTGTCCTTGTTCGTAGAACATTTCTGGGTTCTAAGAACATGTCGTGGTAGGCCTATAGGAATGCCAGGGCGGTCGGTCCCTGCTCAATTCCAGGGGGGCCCCCACGGCCTCCAGAGCAGAGCACCCCATCACGAGGGCCAGGGGCACCTTCACCTGCTGCAGCCCCCGAGCGAGTGTCTGCATACAGTTGTGACGACGTTCCTTCTCCTCCTGCAGGGGTCGGGAAGACGTCGCTGGCCTGCGCGCTGGCCGAGGCACCTGGCGCGCCCGAAATGCGGGCTGGACGAGAGGGCAGGATGCGGGGAAGGGGGGGGGTCACGAAAGCTGCTGCATGCAGCTGGGCTCGGCCCCGCCGCTGGGCCCATTCCTCGGTTCCCGGCGCCAGGAGGCGCCAGGAAAACCAGCTATTACGTGAGCTGATTCTCTACCCTGCCCTTTGCTATCCTACCTTTTCGCGCCCCCCCGAGAAATGGGTACGGAACAGATGGGCAGGATGCCCAGCAACAATGTCCAAAACAGACAGCGGCCGCCGTTCGGCAGGCGGCCCTCTGGTCCCGAATCAGCAGCGTCCACGGCGGCACCGACAGCGAGTCCTGTTCACAATGGACACGAACTGCTGACAGTCCTCGCGCCACGTCCCAGACACCGGCCGCCCCCACGTTTCCGAGGCGTGGGCCCCAGAGGTCTGGACCACTCCCTGGGGCCGGTTTTTCGTCCTGGCTCGTCCGTTGGACGTTAAGACTGGATTAACCAGGGTTCAGTAACCAGGTTTTAGGTTTTATACCTTGTCTTGGGGTTGATTTTTCGGATGGGGACCTATCACCCGGTCTACCTGGGCCTAACACCCGGTCAATTCCGACTTAAGACTTGGTCCGCGCACAAGGGGCGCTTCACAGTTTTATATAAAGCCACATAAACCTAACACCCGGTTTCTGTTCCCTGGCTAATCGCTTCTTAAGGACGGTCCCGCGAGGCCCGGCGAGGGCCCGGGAAGGCCGCAAACGGCTCGAAAAAAAAACCGCCGCTCCAAGTGGGCGTTTTTTATTCATCGTTTTGCCGATCGGCGCGGGCCCTCGCACCCCCCCCCCTCCCCCCCCTTTGGAGTAGATCTTGGCTGTTTTTTGGCGCCAGTTTTGAGCGGGTGGAGTCTCCCCCAGAGGCAGCACTCTTGCAAACAGTCGCACTAAGCAGAGTTCTGGAGCTAGACCCTCCCCCCTCCCCCCCCCTCCCGCCCAGTGCCGAAACGCCGAATAGAAAGAACGCTCACCAATTTTTCGGGCAGCGCCCGATCTCCCCTGAGATCTGACGTTGCCAAAAAAATCCAACATCGCAGAAAATCACGCCCGGACCCCTGGACACCATCTTTCTGCGTCATTCTTCGAGCCGGATCGATCTGTGAGGGTCCCGGGGCCCGAACTCGAGCGAACTCGAGCGAACACGCCCGTTGTGGAAAATTTGCGACGCCCGGATCTCAGGGTCTGGGCCCGCTCCGCCTCCATGCCGAGCGTGCCCCGAGGTGTGGCTGGGCTCCCCGCGCGCCCTGGTGCGCGTCGACTGCGCGAGCGCCGCGGTGGCGCCCGGGGGCGCGCAGGCCGCGGCCGCGCGGTTGGCCGCCGCGGCGCGCCGCCGCCCGCACTGCGTGGTGCTGGTGGACGAGGCGGACAAGGCCGACGCCGCGCTGCAAGGCGCCCCGGGCGGCGCCCGAGGGGCCCAGACCTCCTCGCGCTGCGAAAACAATCACGACCTGAGGTTTTCCGCCGTTTTCGGCCTCCGGGGCCCTTGCCGGGCCTCGGGACCGTCAGAAAACGACTCAGGACGAGAAACCGGTCCCCGGGAAGGGGTCCTGACCTCTGGGGGTCGACGTTGTGAAAAAATCGCGACCCCGAAGGTCTGGGGGGGATGAGGCGAGGAGGTTCGGGCTCTAGGTAATGGTTCGAGGTTGTCGGGCTGAGGAGTTTTTCGGGTTCCAGGTACATTCGAGGTGCGTTCGGGCTCGAGGTGTGCCCGAGGTCTTCGGGCGTCTTCGCCGGCTCTCGCTTTCTCCAGCCTCGGGGCGCTGCTGTCCAGCAGCTGCGCCTCGCCGACGGTGGCGGTCCGGGGATGGCGCCCAGATCCGCCCCGGGCGGCCGTCCGGGAGCCGAGGTATGGCCCGAAAGAGCCAGGGCCGCCTCCGCCCGGGGTCGGGGAGGGGAGGAAAAGGCATCGGCATGAGGCCTCGGAGGTCTGCGCGGGTGTCTTGGGTCGGCGCTGGGCACCCTCGCGTGCGCTCCCCGGGCGCCGCCCCCTGGCGCGCTCCGAAGGGGGGGGAGGGGGTTTTGCTTCAAATCATTGGAAATTCTTTGAAAACCTGCAATTTTCCCAATTTTCAATGATTTTTTTTTTTTTGTTTTTGTTTTTTTTGTTTTGTCCCCTCCACAAAAAGAATCCCTTTGCATTCCTCAACCAAAGGGAATTTCTTTGTAATCCTCCACAAAAGGGATCCTTTTGTAATCCTCCACAAAAGGAATCCTTTTGTAATCCGCCACAAAAGGAAACAATGTGTAATACATCATGAACAGAATCCCCTTGCATTTCCTTACAAAAGAACTCAATTTAAAATGTGCTACAACAGGAATCGTTCTGCATTCCACTACTTTGAGCAATCCCTTTAGAGATGACGAAAAGCACAATCAACAGGAAAGCAAGCACATCAGAAGTAATAGACCAAAAACCGAGGTGGTTCACACACACACACACACGGTTTTATCAACCTTACGCGTGGAGTTGATAAAACCGTGTCTGCGTACAACTTCGTTTTGCTGCGTTGCATCGCCGTCACTAGCATCATCATCATCGGCATCAGTTGACAAAGTCGTGCGCGCGTGTACATGCGTGTTTTCATACTATCACAAACTGTGTTCTCATATCATCGCTGTCGCGACCCAAGCATCCCCAGAGATGTGCGATCTGGTGGCGAACAATCCGTGCGTCGAATCCATCAACATGGCGACTGCGACGACGATCGTGCGATGATGGCGGTACCCGATAGCAGGAAGGTGATTGAGCCTCAAACCAGGTAATCCGCCACAAAAGGAAACAATTTGCAATTCACCATGAACAGAATTCCCTTTTAATTCCCCACAAAAGAACTCAATTTAAAATCTGCTATAACAGGAATCGTTCTGCATTCCACTACTTTGAGCAATCCCTTTAAAGATGACGAAATGCATAATCAACAGGAAAGCAAGCAAATGAGAAGTAATAGACCAAAAACCGAGGTGGTACACACACGGTTTTATCAACCTTACGGGGGAGGAGGGGGCGGGGGCAGCGCCCATGCGAGGCATCCGCGCAGAGCTCATACGGCTTATGTTTATCGATGTCTTGTTTCTTTTTGATCTGGCGCGCAGAGCTCAGACGGTTTGTGTTTACTCGGTTCTTTCATGTTCTTTCTTCTTTTATCTGATACGGGGCGCCGGGGCGAGGGGAGCGATCTTATCCGACGTTGCAAAAAGAATGCAACATCACAGAAAATCACGCCCAGACCTCTGGACCCCATCTTTCTGCGCCATTTTTCGAGCCGGATCGATCTGTGAGGGTCCCGGGGCCCGAACTCAGGCGAAAAAGCCCGTTGTGAAACAACTGCAGCGCCAGGATCTCAGGGAAGGCCTCCTATCAGGCCGCCCCCCTCGCCCCGCCCGGCGCGACCCGCGGAGGCACGCTGCTGCAGGTCCTCGAGGAGGGGTGTCTCTGCGCCAACGGCCCCGGCGACGCCGGGCGCGCGGACTTCCGCCACGCGGCAGCCGGCGACGCGCAAAAGTGGCCCTTCGCGCTGGAGCGACCTCTGGTGCGGGCCCCCCTGGGTCCTGGCGCTGCAACTTGTTCGCACGCGGGCGTTTTCGCTCGATGCCGGGCCCCGGGTTCCTCACAGGTCGATCGCCTGGCTCGAAAAATGGTGCAGAAACA